AAAAGTTGTTGGCAACGCATTCTTATAGTAAAATACATTACGATAATAAAATTATTGACAATGCAATCCTATAATATTAAAAGAAAAATATTTCTCATGCATTCATATAATACACATCCTCTATAATAAAAGTTATTTTCAATTTTACGATTTATGCAATCTAGTCTGTCTTTATTCTCTCGTGCTCTTTATAAATGTTTTTCTTCTTCTTTACTCTTTTTAAGGTACCGTGACTGGACGTGTGAAAACAACCGGAAGTGTCAAGGAGCCATCATCCGTGTTCTTTCGTACAGAGACGCCCAAGAAATATTTCCAGTGAATTCGACTACTTTGAAAGTGCAGTCCAACATTATCGACATTGGACTCTATAACCCCAACACAGGTAACACAAATACTATTCATGTGGGTGGGGAAGAGACTTCTAATTTCTTTCTTCTTTTTAACTAAACAAAAAAAAAACACTCAGATCTTTTGCTTTCGATGCAGTAATCTTCCGTTATTCTTTGTTTTAGGTGACGGTATCAAGATTTCCAATTTGACTGATAAAATCAACTTCGAAATGAAAATAAACTCAATCGGATCAAACGATAAACACCTCTGTCTTTACTGGGACGCGAGCCAAATGACGTGGGTTCAAATGTCTGAAGCATTTGTGAACAGAACAACGTCCACAGGAATATGTAGCAGTTCACATCTTTCTATGTTTGTCGTGGCATCTAAAACAAGTGAGTCGATTTTCTCTTGTTCATTTTCCCGAGGTTCATCTAATACATTGACATCGTCTGTGAAACGAAGTTATTAACCATAGCATTACTTTAGGCTTCTAATATATTGTCTGAGTAAATGCGTGGTCGAATGGTTAGAACGTTAGCGTTTCGATCCTGAGATACATGTTATAGGTCCTGACCTGGCATCTCAGCTTCAGCCACTTTCCCATATCGGTTGTGTGGCTTCCCTGTGCCTTTTCTATAAATGCTTTCATAATAATTATTCTTATGAGCATTCTTCTTTGGTATCCTTGACTTTACGAATTTAAGCACAATATCTAGATTGGCAGCTATATCACATCATTTTACAGTTAAATGTTCAAGATGTAAAAAGGTTTGTAAAGGAGGGGACAATATAAAATACGACGTCTCCCATTTGGCCCAAACGAAATGAAATAAAACATGTCTCCCATTTGGCTCAGACAAACTGAAATAAAACATGTCTCCAGTTTGGCCCAGACAAACTGAAATAAAACATGTCTCCCATTTGGCCCAGACAAACTGAAATAAAACATGTCTCCCATTTGGCCCAAACAAACTGAAATAAAACATGTCTCCCATTTGGCCCAAACAAAATGAAATAAAACATGTCTCCCATTTGGCCCAAACAAAATGAAATAAAACATGTCTCCCATTTGGCCCAAACAAAATGAAATAAAACATGTCTCCCATTTGGCCCAAACAAAATGAAATAAAACATGTCTCCCATTTGGCCCAGACAAACTGAAATAAAACATGTCTCCCATTTGGCCCAAACAAACTGAAATAAAACATGTCTCCCATTTGGCTCAGACAAACTGAAATAAAACATGTCTCCAGTTTGGCCCAGACAAACTGAAATAAAACATGTCTCCCATTTGGCCCAAACAAACTGAAAGAAAACATGTCTCCCATTTGGCCCAAAAAAAATGAAATAAAACATGTCTCCCATTTGGCCCAAACAAAATGAAATAAAACATGTTTCCCATTTGGCTCAGACAAACTGAAATAAAACATGTCTCCCATTTGGCTCAGACAAACTGAAATAAAACATGTCTCCCATTTGGCCCAAACAAAATGAAATAAAACATGTCTCCCATTTGGCCCAAACAAAATGAAATAAAACATGTCTCCCATTTGGCCCAAACAAAATGAAATAAAACATGTCTCCCATTTGAAAAAAAACAAAATGAAATAAAACATGTCTCCCATTTGGCCCAAACAAAATGAAATAAAACATGTCTCCCATTTGGCCCAAACAAAATGAAATAAAACATGTCTCCCATTTGGCCCAAACAAAATGAAATAAAACATGTCTCCCATTTGGCTCTGACAAACTGAAATAAAACATGTCTCCAATTTGGCCCAAACAAAATGAAATGAATAAAAGACATGTTCCATATTCGACCTTTTCCAATTCTTTCTCTAAAGAAACCGAGTTTTCCAGGCTACAGATTTGACAGGTGTGTTATGTTTTCTATTTAATAACCGCTTCATATGGGGATAATGTGGCACTGAACTTGGAAATAGCGAGTCAAGCTCAAAATCCAGCCTATTCTGTTGCGTTCACTTTCGCATTATTACTATTGGTAAAGGGATCACGTCAGCTCTTCTTACCACACCACGAGCTTTGGATTAAATTCATCCTGGGTATAACGATAAACTACATCCAGTAGCAAGGCCTCTGATCAGGTGGTTTTCAGCAAAGTGGAACCACCTTTCAAATGCTCTAGTTCCCAGGTCCACTCTGATCCGTGGTGGTAGCACCTGTTAGGGTCCCAGCTATGGGCAAATAGTCACACCACCTAAAAAAATTACAGGTAATTTTTATAGTAAAATTACCAGCAATGTATTTTAGCAAAATGACATTGAATACAACGCTAAAAAAGTATAAAAACACAAGCAATACATTTTTTATAGAACATTACTAGCAATACATTTTAGTGAAGTTACCAACAATACATTTTATGATCTATAAACTACCCTGAAAGTATAAAAATTATAGACAAAATATTTAGATTTAGGCATTAAATAACCCATGGAGGTATTGATATGCCGCTGAACAAGATCAAACAATTTTGGGCTAAATAGCCGGGCAGACAGGACTCTTTCGACTTTGGCATCTGCCAGTCAAAGAGAAGACTAACCCTGAATTTAAAACCGCAGAGAAGGCAACAAGAAACCATTCCACTAACTTTCCAAATAAGTCATGACAATTCACAGATAATGAAGAAAAAGGAACAAATGAAGAACATTAATCCACAATGTCCTGCATTAAAATAAATGTTTTTGCATTAAAATAAAATTTATTAGAAATGACAATAATTTTTCGAAAATTCTATGATTATATTAATTCATTTTTATTCCTATTATAGGCACAAATATCGACACAGGTGAGTAAAATGATTTTCTTTTATCTCTTACCATCACTTCTCCTCTCTCTAATACATATATATATATATATATATATATATATATATATATATATGTGTGTGTGTGTGTGTGTGTGTGTGTGTGTGTGTGTATAGTCGACACTCCCGTCGAATTCGACGTATGAGGGTCAAGCAGATCAGTTCCCAGGAAACCGACAGCCCGACAACAGCACATAAGATTTGATTATAGTGGCGAAGGTTTTGTGCAGAAAACGTAGGTATGCAGAAAATAGAAAAGAACACGTTGGGTGCATAATCCGGGGTTCCTTAGTATTTTTGTTTTTATTTTTAAGAAGACAGTGCTCCATACAGAAGTAGAGCTTATATTATAATAATATTTTTTGTTTAAAAATATGATTCCTTCGCTACATAAGAGTTCTCATGTTTCAAAAACAAGAGCCGAAACCATACAAATAATTATTAAAATTAAGTTGAATTGAGGTGTTTAGTCCCGTTTCATCTTCAAGCGAAATTTTAGGAATAAGCTATCTCTCGGTTTACGTGTATTTTTAGGCATGGTCCATTACAGAATTCGTTATTGTGGGAGTGGCTGGACTATTTTCCTTCGTTAAGTGGTCAGAGAGTTAATATTTATCAAGAGATTCATCATCTTCTGAGAGGTTTTGCTAAGGTTGGGTAGGGTATCTACTTCAAGGCTAATGTATTTTTATTAATATATATATATATATATATATATATATATATATATATATATTAATAAAAAAAATACAAAAAGGAGAAACTATTCATAACCGACTCGTTTCGTCCTATGAGGGACCTTATCAAGCCAATGTGGGATTTATTTTGTTGTGCATGTTTATATACAAAAGCAAGGATGTCTCTGTTTTATTAACGCTTTTAAGTTCATGAATATTCATCGGGAGGTTGAATCGTCAGTCAAAACATGGGAAGGACATAAAATGACGTCATTCAAAGTCTGGTAAGACAAATGTAAGCGAGTAACATTCAAGAATTTTTTTTATATGAATGTTGTGTAGATTCTGATTAAATTGTTTTACTTTGTGATGGACGTATGTGCTGTATATTTTCAAAAACATCAAATAATGGATTTAACTTTTATCAGACTGTTTTCATCAGATATGTTTTTATCAGATATGTTTTTATCAGATATGTTTTGACTGTCCTCCACATGTTTTGACTGATTGTTCAAACACCTGATTAATATTCATGAATGTTCTCAAATTTAAAAGTCTTCATAAACCAATAACATTTTGGATATAAACACATGCACCAAAATTACGGACGAAACGCGTTGGTTAAGAATAATTGTTTCTCTTGTCTTTTTATTCATTTTGTTTCCTAACAGATACACTCTATCTATTCTAGAAAATAATTTACATATATGTGTGTGTTTGTTTGTGTGTGCGTGCGTCTGTGTGTATATATACAGGTTCGATGGGTAAATTGCCATTTTATGTTTTTAGTTTTGCGCACGCACGTTTGTTTTTTTCTTTGATTTTGACGACTGCACAGTATAGTAAGGTCAGTTGGGCAGGGTCACTGGGAAAAAGATGGAATTCACTCCGCCAGAAATTTGGAAACGGCATGGTGGACTGCTTAGCATTTACGTCGGAAGCACAAATGCAAACATTTCAGAGTGAGTAGGTGTCAACCTGAGGAGAATGTAGGGGATTCAGAAAGAGTTGGATGAGTCTGGTGGTGGTGGCAGCTCATCTGATTGTTCTGATAAGCTCTCCCGAATCTGATTGTTCTGGACAAAAAAAAATGAATAGAATCGATGAATAGATATGGAGATAGATGAGATAGAATGGACAGAATAGATAGATAGATAGATAGATAGATAGATAGATAGATAGATAAATAGATATGAACAGAATGGGATAGATAGATAGATAGATAGATAGATGAATAGATAGATAGATAGATAGATAGATAGAGATAGACAGAAGCTAGATTGAACAGATAGATAGATGGATAGATAGATAGATAGATAGATATGACAGAATGGGATAGATAGATAGATAGATAGACAGATAGATGAGATAGATAGATAGATAGATATGGACAGAATGGGATAGATAGATAGATAGATAGATAGATAGATAGATGATAGATATGGATAGATAGATAGATAGATAGATAGATAGATATGAACAGAATGGGATAGATATAGATAGATAGATAGATAGATAGATAGATAGATAGATAGATATGGATAGAATGAGCTAGATAGATGGAGATGAAGATGGGATAGATAGATAGATAGATAGATAGATAGATAGATAGATAGATAGATATGGAGAGAATGAGCTAGATAGATAGATAGATATGGACAGAATGAGATAGATAGATAGATAGATAGATAGATAGATAGATAGATAGATAGATAGATATGGACGGAATGATAGATAGATAGATAGATAGATAGATAGATGATAGATGGACAGAATGAGATAGATAGATAGATAGATAGATAGATGAATATGGACGGAATGAGATAGATAGATAGATAGATAGATAGATAGATAGATACTCAGAGATAGATAGATAGATAGATAGATAGATAACAGAATGAAATTAAGATAATGTGCCACATGTTCGAATTTTCTCTTTTCTGCATCCAAATAAAGTATTTTCAGCTACAGAATTACGACACATGAAATTGGGATAGGGGAAAATGTCTCCCAGATTCTAAGCAAAATATTAAGAAACCGGAAAAACCGGAGTACTGGATTTTTATATATCAGTCTTGCTATATGTCAGTTGATGCTGCACAATCTCCTTACATATGAAAAACAGAAATGTGCTTCTACAGAAGGATGTTGAGAATTCTATGGATCAAACATTTGAGTAACGACAAACTTTCAGAGAAAATGGAAACAAAAGGGCGCATACTTAACATAAGGAAGAGACAGTTGAAATTCCTTGGGTATATAATGTAGAAAGAGGGCTTGGGAAATTTGATACTCACATGACAGTTTGAAGACAAGAGGGACAGAGGAAAACAACTTATAACATATTTCGCTTGAGTAAATGGATGGTGAACAAGATTTAGGAGAGATAATAAAAACGAACTACAAAGTACAGGAAATTGTGAAGAGCCGTGATCGCCAACGCCGTGAAGGCACACGGCATAAAGAAGAAGAAGGGGGAGGAGGAGAGGAAGAAGAAGAAGAAGAAGAAGAAGAAGAAGAAGAAGAAGAAGAAGAAGAAGAAACTTGAGTAAATGGATGGCCGTGCAAAATTTAGGAGAGATAACAAAAAGACAAAATTTATTAAGCGCTACAATGGACAGAAAGTTGTGGAGAGGCATGATCACCAACATCCTGAAAAGACATAATAGCACATAGAAGAAATGAGAGTTGTATTGTGCTTTTTATTTACTAACCACGTGACAGAATAGCATACGACTATTTTTCTCTGCCTTAAAATAGTATCAATTTTAGTGGATATATCCAAAAAGCAATTTATCAGATGCGAAAGTCATTATTCACATTTTATATTTTGAAATGATAGCAAGTGCCCTTTGCAGTCACTGATTGAATTCGAATCTATAAATCAGACTTTAGTATTATGATGCTTTTCTATAAACCAGGATCAAATTCTGCCTTAATACTAATTTAAAATAGTCTATTAGTGTATTTTTATTGATGTAGCTGCGGGTTACAGTGCGATCTATAAGGTGAGAGGTTAAACCACGAGATAGAGAGGTGGTTGTATATCTGATTTATGATCTTGTTTGTACATAATACCAATCTCACTTCCTTAGTGCGTAAGGAAAATTGACAGATGATATTGGTACGATAGCGTTCTTTTTTGTGAGAGTTGGTATTATCAGATAATGGTGTTAGATAATTTTTTTTTTCTTAAAGGATTGTTAATTTGTCATATTTATCGAATTCAAAGGGAGAAATGTACATGTGTATAACGTTAGTAAGTTATAATAGAATATGGTTACTATGTCATTTGGATATGTGCGTAGGATAGTGGCTGTCGAAAAGTTAAATCAATGTGCTGAGTACAAATCCTGACCAAATTTCTTGCTTTCAGTTTCACAAAAAATAACCATGAGAAAATAATGAATCCATCTCTTAACGGAGACAGCACTTGTTGCCGGATGAGTTGTTCCAGAGTTGTTCCAGAGTTGTTCCAGAGTTGTTCTAGAAAAGATTTGGAAGACCGGAAACAATTTCTGCTTTAGGGGAACAGCAGCTTTTTAGCGAATGTTGATTGGAAGATTAAAAAGACGATGTATTCGGACGTCTTCGATTTTTCCCGAACGAAACTCTTTTTTTTTTTTAATGTGGGGAAAACTATCCACATACTGACTTATCTTCAGACCTTTTCTTTTCTTTTTGCCTTAAAGTAATTTTACAGTTGAAATAACTAGATGTAACCCTAAGTTCTATGCTAACTTTTTCTTTTATCATATTTCTCGCTTGTAGAACTCACTTCCGGCTTCTTGCTTCCCATTCAACTTTGATCTTCAAAAAGTTAAATGCAATGTCAATCGTTATCATCCATCTTCTTAATTATTATTCTTTTATCGTTCTTTCTCCTTAATAGTATATTTTTCTCTTATTCTCTAAAACTCAGTAACACCTTCTCTTAGCGGCTTTGTTGCCTTACTTGGGGCGAAATAATTTTTAAAAAAATAGACAGCTACGTTTAACAGATATTTTCAGAAAGTTGGCTTCATGTTAAATGATTTCCCTTTCTACTGGTACCGTGCAACGCAGTACATTCTGCCGCATGACTTCATCGCTGGGTGTATGACTTCCATGATAAAGACACCGGCCAGGTCAGAAGGGTCCGAGACTAGCTACAAGGTCAACGTGTTCGTGACCAAGACGAGCCGCTTAGGGAATGTAATTCAACTGGGAACATGCCTGGTGAGGGATGGGCTTCGCCAGGTTATTCTCGCCCAACTGACGTTACACTGGTTACAAGATTAATGACATTGACAAGCAGAATAACACCAGATGTTTCGATCAAATTACTTTTATTAGAAATGGGGCTGATAGAATCGAAGCGTTTTATTTATAAATAAAAATGAAAAAAAATGGTAATTCTTTGAAAATTCCTCTTGGATAATATGATTTTTCTTCCTATTTCAGGCACAGACGACGGCACGGGTGAGTAACATTTGTTCTCGGAATTTCCCATCTATCATTAATCTCTGTCTGTCTGTCAGTCTTTCTCTCTCTCTCCCCCTCTCTCTCTCTCTCTTTCTCTTTTCTCCCCCTCTCTGATTTATTCTCCCCTCTCTCTCTCTCTTTCTCGCTCTAAAGAAATTCAATCTTTCTCTCTCTCTCCCCTTTCTCTCTCTCCCTCTCTCTCTCCCCTCTCTCTATCTCTCTCTCTATCTCTCTTTAAAATAGAGTCTCTCTCTCTCTCTCCTCTCTCTCTTTCTCGCTCTTGCGTCAGCTGAGAGAAGTTTTGTCTTTAGTCATATATATAAAAGCAAAGGAAAACTTCTCTTTTTTTTTCCCTTTGTCTTTATATATATATATATATATATATATATATATATATATATATATATATATATATATATGTCTCATTAAATAATATAGACAAGTGTTGTCTATTTAATTTTATGTAAATTCTTTTCATAACGTCTGATAAGTTTAATAACATTATCATTAAACGAAGAAAGAAAAATCACGAATATTATTGATATATATATATATATATATATATATATATATATATATATATATATATATATATATATATATATATACCTTCAAAATACGACTTGGTAAGATAGATAGAATATGCTATCTTCCCCCCATAAATATGGAATCGGCTATTGCTCAACATTTAGTTGAGAATATATCCTGTGCCAAGTCGTATAAAAGGGAGTGGTTTAAAATTATTCATACAGCCGATTCCAACAATCATTTGAAGATTTTGGAATCGGTCTACATAGGATTAAGAAAACCTTCTCTCTGCCAGCAGAAAGAATTTATAAAGTCTCTGAATCTGTTGGGGGATATTTTATTTTAACTGTCCCTCGCTAATTTATTTACACGATTCTTTCCTCTTCCCTCGTTACAAGCATATATACTTGTTTGTTATTTTAGTGTGTTTCCCCCTCTTTTTTGCTCTTCAATATCGTTAATATTCTTTTCGCTAATCCAACGACTGTCTCCTGATGAGATGTTGGCTGAAAGGGCCCTAGAGACTTTTAAAATTAAAATCAATGCATTCCTTGTTTTTAAAACTATTTATAAATTTTGTACCTCCAAATATTTTGTATATATATATATATATATATATATATATATATATATATATATATATATATTGTCTGACGATCGCTAAAGCCTGAAACCAAGGGTCACAAACTCACATCTATCCAACCAAAATATGTTAGCTCTATCTCTGATATTGAGCGCTTTCTAATAAGTAAAGCATATAATATATAAATAATTATACATATATATATTTATTTATATTTATATACACTTTTTTTCACACACACACACACACACACACATATATATATATATATATATATATATATATATATATATATATATATATATATATATATATATATATATGATAGATGTCTCGGTTTTCAGGGATATATATATGATAGAAAACTTGAGTTTCACGTCTTCTCTTTCCTTCCTTATTTTAAGTTGTATGCACCCGTAGATGACTTTTCAAACCTGCCAAAATGCGGTAATTTTTTTCCACATAGTCGGTCGTTTTGGTTCCCACGAATGTTATTTTGCGCAACAGCAGGTTGGACATGTTTACGCAGATGGCTTTTGAGACCCGCAAGTGAGAGTCAGAGGTTTCCACATATGTCACACTTGACGTAAGTTGACCTTGTGGACCTGGTATTGGATCTTGTTCCCCCCCCGCTATGAACTGATCGTTTGAAAACGGCATACTACAGAACATGGCTATATTCAAAGGATTCTATACCATCATGAATAGGTATAGAATATATATATGTATATATATGAAAATTTCTCGGATTTAACCAGTAGAGAAGACAATATTTATGAATAAAAATGATAATAGGAAAACTAGTAATTGCTGACGCATTTCATTTTCGTATTTTGCTTTGATAAAGTCCACATTGGACGAAACGCGTCAGCAATTACCAGTTTTCCTATTGTCATTTTTATTCATAAATATATATATATATATATATATATAAAAGTGAACATTGAAGTCAACACTCAGAGGCGACAATTTTCATGCAAGACGCAATCATCAAGCCGCCTGACGATTGCGTCTAGTAAATGAAACAGCCTGTCAGAATGAGTGTTGACTTCAATGTTCACTTATATATATATATATTTACATACGCTCTATCTCTGATATTGAGCACTTTATCCCATAGATATATACACCTTAAAATATATTTCTTCTTATTTATATATATATATATATATATATATATATATATATATATATTTACAGGGTGACTGAAAAGTAACTTCCCATTTTAAAATATATAATTTATTTATTAACTATAATTTTTACAAAAAACTGAATATGAATGGAAAGCGTTTAGCATGAGGTTTTATTTAAAATTCAATATGGAGACCAGATTTTGCTATCGGCTTCTCGAACCGCCCAGGAATCACATCAACTGATTCCACCAGGAACTCTTGCGGTATGGAAGACATAAGTTCTTGTATTTGCTCGTCAAATTCTTCCGTAGACTTGCTCCTTTAAACCCCCGCCCCAGAAAAAAATGTCACTGAGTGTAAAGTCAGGAATCCTGGTTGGCCGCTCATACATAAAATAGGGAGTTACTTTTCAATCGCCCTGTATCTCCCGTCGTCGACTTCATCTCGTATCTAAGAATTTAATTCCTTCTTTGCTGGTCGCTTTCATTTTGATGCTGGTGTTAATGATTACATTCGCCGCAACCTTGCAGGTTCAGGACTAGAAGCTTCACGTTTCACCAAAACCTGTTCCCGTCATCTATTCCTTGTTGCCGTCTGTCTTTGCAAGACAGATGGCGAAAATCAAAGTAGAAGAAAGTGCCGATGACATGAATTTGGTTAAGGTGGACCTCAACTTGCCAGGAAGTGATCCACATACATGATTTCATGACCTTCCTCTGCGGCTTATATGGAATTTAGACATGCAGAATCCTGTTATGAAACCGCAACGGGTGGCTGCTGACTCTGTTATACAGTGTAACTCGGATATAAGAGAGTTGTCGGGACCGGAGAAGAAGTCTCTTATATCCGGGTTTCTCTTATATCCGGGTTGGGTCTATTTTGTTTAGGTAAGTATGGGAACACTTTGGGACCAGAGAAAATCTCTCTTATATCGGGGTTTCTCTTATATCCGGATCTCTTATATCCGGGTTACACTGTAATTTCGAACGACGCCTTCTCTAGCATGTCCCCCACGCGTAGCCCA